TGTAGAAAGTTTCATCACAATCTGACTCTGTTGTCAAAAGTTATTATGTAAACAGCCAATCGGACGGACGGACACACTGTTTATTCTATAGTCTACTCACTTTTTGAGTACACAAAACTATGATTCGATTCAAAACTAATATCAGATTCAGAATCAGCGTTAAAGACTGAGTCGATTTATATATGTTGTGAACAATTCAGAGAAAAAAATTTTTTTTTTGAAAAAATCCCTGTACCCCCCCTCAGGGATGGTCTGGTCAAAAATCACAATTTTTTTTATAACTCAGTCATTTCTCGACGGTTCCTTCTCATCTTCGAACTCGACCGAGATATTGTAAAGACTGAACTGTGTAGAAAATTTCATCGCGATCTGACTCTCCTTTCAAAAGTTATCGTGTATACGGCCGGACGGACGGCCGGCCGGACATACTGACCGATTCTAGAGTGTACTCACTTTTTGAGTACACAAAAAAGAAAAAAAAAAAACAACATCATTCTTTTCTTTTTTTTTTCTTTTTCTATTTAGATAATTAGTAAAGCGCGTCATCCGAATCGAACGCGTGTATTTAAAGAAATTGATATTTATTCTCATTGCCGCGGTTGTGAAAATATTTTAAGCATAATTGATTTTCTCGAAGATGATGACTATTTTTATCTTGTCTTTCAAAAAATGGAAGGCGGTATGTTGAATTCAAATAAAATTATTTATTCTTATCATTCTTTTTGGATTTTTTTTTTTTTCATATGTTAAGGACCATTACTCAATCACATAATGAAACGTGGTCGTTTAACAGAACGTGAAGCTAGTTTAATCGTACGTGATATTGCTAATGGTCTCAATTTTCTTCATTCCAAGGGCATGTCACATAGGTTTGTATATGAGAAAAAAAAAGAAAAGAAAATATTTATTATCTCTTTTATAGAGATTTAAAACCGGAAAATATCTTAGTCGAACGTGCCGATTCATTAGTACCGATAAAATTATGTGATTTTGATTTGGGTTCAGCTATTCGTCTTAATAGTAATAAAACAACACCGATAACAACACCAGAATTATCAACACCTGTAATTATTTTATTTAATTTTTTGTTTTTGTAAAACTAAGTTTTTTTTTTCGTTTTAGGTTGGATCAGTTGAATTTATGGCTCCGGAAGTTGTTGATGCATGGACAAGTTTAGAAGGTTCATTACAAATGTATGATAAACGTTGTGATTTATGGTCACTTGGTGTTATTATATATATAATGTTATGTGGTTATCCACCATTTTATGGTTCATGTGGACATACATGTGGTTGGACAAAAGGTGAAGAATGTGAACAATGTCAGGGTTTATTATTTGAACGTATACAAGATGGAGAATTTGATTTTCCAGATAAAGATTGGAAATATATATCAAATGGTGCAAAAGATTTAATAAGACGTTTACTTGTACGTGATGCTTCATTACGTTTAACAGCTGCTGAAGTTCTTCAACATCCATGGGTTAAAAATAGTCATGAACTTGACGATGAACGTCCATTAAATACTCCGGAACTTTTACAACGGTATGAAAAAAAAAACAAAAATCAAACATTCTTTTGGAAAATATATATATATTTTTTTTTCTTATAGACATGATAGTATCCGTCGTTTAGAATCATTTACAAAAGATGCATTAAGCATAACAAAAATGATTGAAGAACGTAAACGTATGGTGCATTATCGTTCACATAGTACTGATAGTTTACATCAACGAAGTCGATCATCATCACATGATGATGCTGATGATGATGAAGATTTTATTGAATCAACACCTAATGTAAATAAACGACGTTTAAGAAAGAAGAAAAAACAACAACCACAAAGTAAAACTCAAACAAATGTTATTGTTGATGATGATGATGATGATAATAATAATCAAAATTTTGAAAATTTACGACGAAGATTATCAAGGTAAATTTAAAAAGAAAAAAAAAGATTATAACAATATTATGGAATATTTTATTTTTAGTACTACAATGACATCAGGTGAAGAAGATATAGGTGGTAGTGATGATTATTATGGTTGTAGTTATAAAACAGTTATTCATCGTCCAATACCAAATTTTTATTTGCCACAAACAGATAATGTACCTCAACAAGCACCTCCAGTACAACCACAAGCGCCGCCACCACCACCACCACCACCACCTCCACCACCACAAACAATAGTACTTACATCAACCCCATTAATACCAGCACCAGCTCTACCTATTGTTATGCTTCCATCACCACCAGTGAATTCTCCAATACAATATCGAGCTCATACAGATCCTGATCTTCTTTATTATCAACAACAACAACAACAACATCAAGCCCAACCAATGTATCATCCAACAAATTGGTATCCACCAATATTTTTCTATGGGCCACCACCTCCACCATTTGTTATGCATCAAACATCACTTCGAAGTTCATCAGTTGATTGTCGTCGTACGGCAAATAACATACATGAACCTCATTTTCTACATCCGGAACGGGTTTGGTGAAAAAAAAATATAAAAGCAAAAAAAAAAAGAAGTGTCCTTGTTTTTCTTTTTCTTTTTCTTTTTGTTTATTTGTTTTACTTTTATACATTTTTTTGGCTTTTTTTTTCTTTCCCGCATGAATCCTTAGATCAGAAGAACGCGAATAGGATAGGTCGTTTTTTCATACCCAGTGACTTCGATCTGACATTTAATGGATTTTCCTTTCTTTCTTTTCTTTCTCTTGTTCTTCCCTTCAGTATTCTTTTTTCTTTTCCTTTCTGTTGTACAGATTTGTTTTCTTTCTTGTTTTTTTTTTCTCTTGTTAACATCAGGGTCAGTCGTGATGCGTACTATATATACAGAAAGGAGATTGAATTTATATACTTGAAGATGAGAGATATTAAAATTATCGAATTCGAGCCGTTAAGTCTCTAATTTATGATCATTTCTTTTTTCTTGAGTATTTATTCTATCTCTTGTTCGAACGCTCCGACTAAAATTTTGTTATAGTCTGTCTTTTGTTTATCACATTTTCTTTTTTTTGTTGTTCCATTGTAAATATATATATATATTTGCCTCTCTGTTCGCGTGCCATTTTGTTTGTTTCTTTCTTTTTTTTTTTTTTTCATTGCTCGAAATCATTAAATGTAGCTATCGAGCAAATTAAGGCAACGAATATTTTTCATTATGTATATAATTACATGTATGTAATTTCCTGGATATTTGCGAAGCATAACACATATTAATTTACTTGTGAACATATATTCTTTTTCGTTTTTGTTTTTCATCTATATCCGGTCTTAAGTCCTTGTATTTTCTATGAGTGTCTAAGATGAAATTCAAACAAAAAACCAAAAAAAAAAAAAAAAAGATGAGTGATCTTGGTTTGTTCTTTTTCTTTCTTCTTATGCGCAATGATGACCAAAAGCCATGTTTGATGTTTGTTTTTCTATTATTTCTTCCTCTTTATGTTTGTGTGATTTCTCTTCTATGGTTTTTCTCTTTTTTTTTTTGATTTCTATCTTGTCATCTTTTCTTTTCTTTGTTCTTGTGCTCTATTCATTATACTTCTTTCTTTTCCTTTTTTTTTTTGTTCGTAGACTATTCGAGTTATTGTTATGATCCAATTTGATGTATCTATAATATTCGATGTGTCTGAAGGACAAAAAAAAACGAGTAGTGAATAAGATTATAAACAGACAGATAAGTGTAAGGACTTCTTTTTTGCTGTTGTTGTTGTTTAGTTTAAGTTAATAAATAAAGAGAGAAAAAAAATAGCATTAGAATATAAGATTATTTAATAAATGTTTACGAAAAACAAAATGAAAATTATGTTTGGTACTTCAATGTATTTTTCTTCTCGTTGAAATAACAATATGAATATATACGATAAAATAGATATTAATCTCCTTGATTTATTACGAAAAACATAGACTATAATGAAAAAAAACAAAAACAGAGAGAGATAAAAAGCCTTGGGATTATTGCGATTATATGTATCATTTATTATCTTGCATGAGTACGTGATGATAAGAATGATAAAAATATATTTAATTATTCCACTGTTGATTAAATGTCATAATCAAGAAATATTCTCGAATGTTTTAATTTACCATAATATTAACTTCATTTTCAATAGTAATATACATGCAATATGAAAAAATAATTTATTACAATATTAGTTTCAACTTAAAAGTGCAGTAATAAAAAAAATATTTTTTGTTTACGATCTATACCTATATATATCTAGGTGTCAAAAAAAACAAAACGATATGCATCATTAATTATGATTATAATCACAAGATTGGATATGTGAAAAAGTAATCATAATTACCTTGATAGACGGGATATCGTGTACCAGACATTGACATATTTTTTTTCATTCATTTATAACAAAAGAAAAAAAAAAAACAAGATAAACTTAAGGACATTTTTCATCAAGAAAACAAATCCGAATTGCACGTAATAATATGAATCGAATCCAAAAAAAAACATCTATTTCATCCGTCTCGTTTTTTAATCATAATAAAACTTGCAAAAAAAAAAAAGAAAAATTAGATTTCTTTTTTTTTTCAAAAAAATAACTAAAAAGTACATCATGTTCTTTATCATGTTGCATTGATCAAATTTTCACTCTTATTAAAGTACATCAATGTCGTATCAACTTAATTTATTCTTCATTTAACTTATGTTTAAAGGATACTTATCATATTGACTAAGTTTATGTTGTATTTCTTTCTTTATTTTTTTTTTCTAATATGAAAGAAAATGACAAGCATATCATATAACATTGTTTGAAATATTGATGCTCGAAGAATTTAAATGTTTATTAACGAAAAAAAAAAAAAAAAGGGGGATTTAATGACAATGCTAAATATCGAATAGAAGAATCTTATCAAAATATTTACTTGTTAAATCATGGCTTTTCTAACACCTATAAAAACAGCTATCAATGCCATTGTTTTGTTCTAAGACGCAATTTAACTTAAACGACCAACAGACAACTTTATTATTATGTGGATCGTAAATAGTATGATCGTTATTGCAATAGCATTATTTATGCAATTGCATAATGCATATGCACAATGTTCACCACAAGCAGCACAAAATTGTGTTCCATATACATGTGTTCAAACGGAAAATATTTTTTCATGTCTTTGTCCAAATATGCAATTGGCATCGAGTGCAGCAGAATGTGATATTATTAATCCTCCAACAACACAACCTCCAGTTGTTATTCCAAATCAATGTTCAACTGCTGTATGTCCTGCTGGTTCTACATGTGTACCAACAAATCAAAATCCAGCACTTTATGTTTGCGTTTGTCCAAATAATATTATTGCTAATCCAAATTGTCCAGGAGTTCTACCAAATAATCAATGTCTTTTTAATAATCCATGTAGAAATGGAGGTACATGTGTTATTAATCCACTAACACAGCAACCTGTTTGTATTTGTCCACCAAATACTTATGGTCAAAATTGTGCAAATCCTTGCCGTCCATATTGTGATAATAGCTGGTAAAATATCAATGAAATTTATTTTTTAAAGACAGAGAGAAAAATAAGATTTTATATATATATATATTATAGGTGTTACAATGGTGGTCGATGTGCTAATGCATACGGTCAAGCTTATTGTATGTGTCCATACAATTATCGTGGTCGACGTTGCGAACTTCGATATAGTGCTTATAACTATGTCTATTTATATCATTATCCTCATTACCATATTGGCAAATAAATTGAAGTTTTCTTCAATAATTAAAAAGCATTATTTTATTTTTTAATTTAAATAAAATAAAATATTTCTTCTTAAATGATATATATATATATCATTATAATAAAGGTTTAAAGTATCATCAGATATTGATATTCATAGTTGAAAATGTCAAAAAACACACATTTAAAACTAAGACGAACTAACATAGTAGAGCTCGTGAGTTTTGATATTGGTTCTACGCTAGTTACTAAATACAAAAAAAAATATTTCATATATTCAAAGCGACTATTCAATCTCGATTTAGATATTTTTATTGAGCGTATCAAAGTATGATTCAATCCGATATGAAAAATTTTGAAGGACAAATAGTCTCTATCGCTCATACATTTAAAACGAGATATTGATGAGAGATTTTTTAAATAAATATAATCTGATTGAAACTCAATACTGAGTTTAGATCGTCGTCAAATTCAAATCAAGCGCTATAATCAATGTAATTTAATCAAATACATAGTGTCGATATATATATATATTAATATTTATTGCTAGAGAGAAAGCAATAAAAGAAAAGGAAGTCTATGATTTTTATTTGAAATAAATTTTATTAAACTATGTTCGATGAATTAATTTCACTTCTTGATGATACAAATCATATATCATCAAATGGATCAATTCTTATAACAAGTTTTGATTTTGATTCAAATTTTTTATTACAACATTTTTTAAGTTATTCATTAAAAAATACATTAAATTGTGTTTATATTAGTTTATTAACACCATTTTCACATCTTAAACATGTTCAAAATAAAATGGGTAATATATTAAAAACATCAGAAATATCAACATCATCTACATTTATGTTTATTCCATTATTTTCATCATTATCTGATCATTTTTTTAATAATAAATCATTATTAAATATTAATGATCTTTGTACAATGATTCAACAACAAATTATTACATCACCCGATATAATTATTATTGAAGATTTACAAATCTTACGTCATCTATTAAAATTATCTGATATAGAAATATTACTAATGCAAAGAAAATTACGACAAATATTTCCTAACGCACAATTTATTACTCAAATATCTATATCTGATGATGAAAATGATGATAATGATGAAAATTTTTCATCATCATTAATCAATATGCTTAAAAGAATACATCATAAACATATATTCGTTCGAAGTTTAACTACTGGAGCTACAAAAGATATAAGTGGACAAGTAAGATATTACTTTTCTTTGTTTACACGAAATCAATACATATCTTCAGACTTGTTTTATATTCACGCAAAAAAAAATAGTGGTTTTAATGAATGAGAAAAGTCTTTCACTGTGGTTTTCATCGCTTTGTATAGACGCATAGATGATCTAATCTCCGCAATTAATTGTGGTTTTCCCTAGATATATACAAAGATTAAATTAGACGTGAATAAACATTATTATTTATTAAATAATCATTTTATTTTTAGTTAACATATACTGGTCCATCTCACTCGAATCTATGGAAAAATATAATTATTCGTAAATGTTTATTTCGTTTAACAGATCGAACATTAAATTTAATAACTAGTGCTGTTTAAAAAAAGAAAATATATTGATTGATTTTTGTTTTTTTTCTCATTTTATTCTAGATGAGTGATAATGAAACATATTTATTTGAATTAGATGATGATTTATCAGAAAAAGATTGGAACGGTCCCAAACGAACAATATGTTCTCGTTGTGAACGACCGGAATTAGTTTGTCTTTGTTCACATTTACCTTTATCACCTATTCATCTTGATCATACATCCATTGTTATATTTCAACATCCAAATGAAATAAAACGACCATTAGGTACTGTACAATTATTATCAAAATGTCTTGATTCATCATCATTAACTGTTATACGTGCAAGACAATTTCCAAGAAAATATTATTCGGATATATATACTAATCCAAATACATATTTACTTTTTCCTAATACAAATGCTGTTTTATTAGATGATATTATTAATGAAAGTGATCATTATACAATAATTGCACTTGATGGTACATGGAATGAAGCTATGGGTATTTATCATCGTCATAATGAATTACAAGAATTAAAAACATGTTATGTTAAAATTGATCAAAAATCAGAATTTGTTATTCGTACTCAACCAACTAAAGAAACAACATCAACATTAGAAACAATAGCATATGCATTACGATGTACAGAAAAAGATAAACCAACATTATTTGATGATATTATTCGACCATTAAAACGTATGGTAGAATTACAATTAAATTTAGGTGCTGTTGTACATGAAGCTAAATTAAGTTTAATTGAAACTGGTCAAACACGAAGACAATATAGTAAAAAACATGAAAGATGGCTTATGACACTTCAACATTAAACAAATAAAAGCAAAAAAAACAATGAATTTTTAGTATTGTTTTCAGATAAAATCTTGAACATCATTTGTTTGTTTTGTTTTGAATACAGTTTAAAAATGTGTTTTGTTTTATATTATTAATAAGAAATAGGGATCAACGAAAAATATATGTTGTTTAGTAAAATTTTTGTGAACACTATTGCAAATTTTAATAAAATTGAAAAGCATAGTTTAATCTGTTTGACATATAAGCAAAGAGCGTGAAATGAATCAACAGCTGTTAGAATATTAAAAGAAAATAGAATTTATTTTTCTTAAACACATATTTTGAATGAATGTAAAATAAATCAAAAAACACTTTTACAAGATTATGAACAATGATAAATTCATTCTGCCAGTCTTATTCACATATTCTCACGATGATATTGATGACACTTTTAAAAAGCATGAATATAGCAGTATATCCTAACTGCAATCATAAGGTAAAACTTTTGGTTGCTCGCTGTATCAATACGAAAAGGCCTGATTGAATTGTTGTATTCATTTTCGGATTTCATAATACGTAGTTCAATATTCAATTATATTCGGATTTCAATTAGAAAGTTTCGTAATTACTCAAGCAAACACAGAAAACGATGTATATCACTGAAGCTTAATCACAATGTGAACAGTTTTTGTCTAGATGAATCACTAATTAATGATGTGCACTATATTTGACAAAGATAAAAATGGTTGCTCGATTATTGCTGCAATCAATATTGAATTCATTTTTCTTGTTGTTTCATTCATATCATCAGAATGTCCATGAAAATCGTAAAGTAAAAAGGGTGTGGGTGTGGGTGTAGGGTGTGGGGTGGGCATGGGTGTGGGGTGGGTGTGGG